ATCTCCAGCCATTATTAGTCTCAAAGTGGGTTCCTCGTCATCGAAGGTAAAATAAGATTTTAATTCAATCAAATTCCAAGTATCAATATAGCTTGAATGAGCCACCATTGTTTTTATGCACGAGTTTTAATCGATTCGCAAAAGATTTCAGCAATGTAACAAACACGTCTGTTTTTGTGGCTGTCTCTGTGAGCACATCAGTGAGAGCTGGAATCAAGGTTTCACATTTGTCTCTCGCATTCAGGCAAAGTTTCTAACATTTCTTCTGTGCATTGTTGAATGAAAGTTCCTACATTTACGGCGGGATTTAAATCTTTCACATTCAACAATTCTGAAACTTTTGACATTTTAATCGAATTTTACAAATCTGGCATTGCAATGTGTTGATTGAAAGATTTGAATCCTCGGAGCATGTCTGCGACTAGTTTCTGAGCCATCCCGAAGGCAGCACATGCGACACGAACCTGAGTTCGAGTGAGCACCATGATTCAAAAGTTTTCACAAAAAATGAAATTCGAAGAGTCAAATACCCAAGAGTACTTTAAAATGACGTTTTCTCACAAGTGATGATATTCATGGTCCTACCAAGTTCGTCATTACTTTGGTACTTTTCATGTACCTTTCTTCCCTCCACCTTCTATTAGAGAATCTTCACAGGAACCTTGAGGGGGTTTTCTGCTGAAATCCTCTTCATCCTTACTTCTATATTGGCTCATCTGTCTGTCATCTTAGGCTCTCGTGCTTCAAACATGGTTTGTTTGGACCTCTTGGGCCGTGATGCGGTTTTGTTATGGACCCATTTCCAGGCTCCTTAGCTGAGGGAATTCCGCATGGTGGCGTTATGTGTTTGACTCAGTTCCTGAGTCTTTGGAGTCACAGGTGGCTCGGCCAATCAACATTCTACCCTTACTAACTTGCTAACCCATTTGTTGCATTTGGGGCCGAGCGTGGCATTGATTTCTGTCCCACGACCTGCCCCTCTCAACCTCTTCCTGTCTCACGCTCCTGCAGTGCCACGGTTTGACGATTTACTCGATGACACCAACAGCAATACTGGTGACTATGTGGTCTGTTTGGGCCCAGTGGATCTTGTCTATTGAATTTCGTTCATCTGTGGGGACCTTTTTTTGCTGATATCAAGGTTCACAAGGTGTCCTTGGAGGGATTTGTTATCCCCTTTCTCTCCCTTCCTCCATTATCCAGTGTTCTCATTCCCTTCTCCTCGGGATCTCTCGACATGCCAGCATCTGTCAGAGGTGGTTCAGGATCTCATCACCCAACAGGCTTTTGAACCAGCTCACCAGGTGTACAGGGGTTTTACTTCCACCTGTTTGTGGTTCCCAAAAAGACTGTGGTATGGTGTCCTGCCATCGATTTATACCATCTCAAACAGTATGTTCACACTCCTCACTTTACCATGGAGACATACTTTTCTCTCCAGTGGGCATTTTCTCCAGGTCTTTGGATGACAAAGGTGGACATTTCCAATGCTTACCTACACATTCTTGTGGTGGAGCATTCTCGTCCATATCTTTGTGTTGTCCATTGGAGGGTTGTGTACCAGTTTTGCACCTAACCTTTCAGCCTAACCTCAGCACCATGCACGTTTTGTCATGTGGTCTACTCCTTTGATTGATATATTCATGCCATGGGGTTGTGCTTCCATGTTTATTTGGATGACTGGCCTCTTGCTCATTCTAACAGGAATCGGCATGTCACACTCGTCAGCTCCTGGTTGAAGCTATGTGGGTGGGCTGATTGATCAAATTGGAAAAGTTTTTCATTTGTCCTACCCAATACCTTATTCATTTGGGTGTTTTCTTCTACACTCATCCCAGTCGGGCCCAACCTTCTCCTTTCTCCTCCATTCTATGGAATGAAACATTTGGAAAGCCATGTCTGTTCCCTCACTTACAGCTCGTGAGATTCTATTGCTTTTCAGGATGTGGTCCTCCATGACCCCTCTCATACCCCTGGGCAGGGCCCATATGCAGTTTCTTCAGTGGGTCCTTCATGATCAATGGATCTTTACCTGAAATCCCTTGGCTACTTCTCTATCCCTTCCCTCATCCCTTGTAGATGATCTCTTTTGGTGGGGATCCCACTTCCTCTTCTGCAGCTAGATTTACATCTGTTCATGGATGCACCCCTTCAGGGCTGGGGTGCCTGGGTGGATCACCAGGAGGTTTTGGGTTGTTGGGCTATAGATGAGAGTTCTCTTATCAAACTCCTGACTGCTCATCAGGCTTTGGAGCTAATTTTTTTCTCTTTCCATTCACTGGCTGGTTATGATCCATTCCAACATTCACCAAGGTGGCACCAGGTCCAGATTCCTAGGTTTTCACACTATGGATCTTCTTTTTGGGCCCACAAACATCACATTTGTTTGGCATGTCATGTACTGGGTGCTTTCAGTCTTGTAGCTAACAATATTTCCTGACTTGATCTAGTTTATCCCATAAGTGATCCCTGCATCCTGCCAGTTTTTGGTGGCTCTGTATGCATCTGGGTATGCCCAATATCGATGCCTTTGCCACCATTTTCAATCTAAATTACCTCGATTTTGGTCCTCAGTCCTCCATCCTCAAGCCTTGGCTACCAATGCCTTCAGCCAGGATTGGTCTCATCTGTTCCTTTATGTTAACCCTTCCATCTGTTTATTTCATCAGAGGGTCTCCCTCATCTATGCCACTCTGTTGCATGGTCCTTCTGATTGCACATTACTGGCCTGATCAACATTAGTTTCCTCAGTTGCTCCAACTGCAGGTGGTCTCCCTTCCTCTTCCCTTCTGTTCTGACCTGCTCCATCAACTCCAGTCACCAGTGCTCCATCCCATGCTATCTGTCCTCCATCTCCATGCTTGGCTTTTGTCAAGTCCTTGGCAAGAAGTTCCATTTTTTGCTGAGTAGCTTCACATTTAGCCTGTTCCATTTGCCATTCTTCTTTGGTTCTCTAGCAATGCAAATGGAGCATTTATTTCTCCTAGGCATTGACTCGAGGTTTCCAGGCTTCTCACCCAATGGTTGCTTGTATATCTGAGTTTCTCACGTGATTTTTGGGTTTTGGGTCAGTGTTATCCCATACATTCCATTTTCCCCATTTCGGTAGGGTCTTGGCTTCCCCTATCCTTTTCATGTTCATC